GGCACACTGAAAATAGCATATTGGCTTAATGCAGTTCTAGAATGTGTGAATTTTGAAAACACTTTATATTGTTGTTTCCTGGTATACTGCTGAGTAGTTGTGCTGTATTGAGTGTTGAATGTGATCAATAGGATACAGTAATAGTAAAAAGCATTACTGTTCTAGATACAGCAGATGCAGCTGGAGAAATCATGATAGACACATTATAAGACAGCAAAAGGGCTCATTTTGGATACACTACTTGGGAAGTGGCTCGCATAAATTTGTAACATGATTTTTTTATAGTTAGCCCACACGTTCAGATGAAGAGCTCTGTAAACCAGTCAAGAAAGGTTTTCGTTTTTTTTAAATATAGTTATTCAGGATTTTTAAAATGAACAAGGCAGATTCTAACAGTTAGTCAGAACATTTGCGTTACATCATTTGCAATTAAGTAAAGTTTTTTGATTTGCCTTTCATGTTTTTTGGTGGTGGTGATTGAGGAGCTCTTGGAAAATATGTAAAGGAGAATGTTAGCTGTGACTGTGAGAAGACCTGCACTTTATACTAACAGTACTAAGGGTGAATTAACAAAGGGTTGTAAGAGTCTGGAATAGGTCACCGAGTCATGTTGTTGAAGCTGATGCCATAATTTAAATTCCTTCTCATTTAAGAAACGGCTGAATGAGACTTTTGTATCAATTAGTTACTAAAAAGTAAAAGTATCTAGATACTGTAGGCCAAATTAATTCCTCTCGTTTACTAACCTTTCATGTTTGGTGGACTTCCGACATCGATTAAGGACAGTGGTTACGCAGATTAAAATACAGCAGCATATTGAGGCCACGAGTATTTTTTTTACTTACGATCTTAACAAATCTTTGAGATCAACAGATAAAATATCTTCGGATTTTGGGAACCTTCACATCAAATAATTTCAAATCTATATCCAGGGAAGGAACAGACTCAGTTGTGCATTGTTTTGAAGTGCATTTAAGGACACTTTCATGTCATACTGTAGGTATGGAACATTATTTTACAACTAAGTCTGTGTGACATGGTTTATTTTTTATGTTCTCTTTTGTTCTAATAGTGTTGTGTTTCAGCGTCATAACATGCAAACTACAGTACATCTATAACAAACTAATAAAGTCTTTTACATCTGATGAAGAGCTATTAAAGTAATCACTCTCACATTTCTATATTTTCAATCTACAGAGTGACCATTAACCAAAGCACCAATTTTGAATATGCAGTGTACTGATATTTTTTCCTTACAAGAATACACAATGATGTAAAATGTACAAAACTATGCCTTATTTAAAAGCAGGCGAATAATGGATTCAAATTAATCAGTAATATAATTTGCATTTTATATCATAAAATGCTATCATAATGATCTCCCTTGGTGTACTGACATGACCTAGTGTTGAACTCTTGAGACGCTTGAGACATGAAAACACTGAATTAGTTAGCTAGTCTAGCTCTACTCCACCCCTTAAGTTAAACACAGTTTTGCACTCTGTGCTGATGGTACTCAGCACAATCGTCAAAGGTGTTTCTTTCATTTTGAAATTCTTATGCTTTACCAGAATTTTCCAGCACAATTAGCCCATAGAACATTGCAATAAGGTTTTACAGCTCTTCTAAATGCCCATAATTGTAATAATGAAAAAGGACTTAGAAACATGGCGGAACATTCCACCAACATGTGAATTCATATCTGTAAGCAATGTTCTGATGTTTTGTGAACTATTGTTCCAGATTTAAAGATCATTCCATTGATCTTTTGTTATTTCTCACAATGTGTTCTGAAATATACATTTTCATAATGTAAAGTAACCTGTTTTGGAGATATAAAAAATTAAATTAATTAACAAACATGTAAACATGTATTAATTAATTCACATGGTAAGAAAATATGTAATGGGAAAGGAACACGACTTTAATGTGAACATTTAATATTAACTAAGGACTCATTGGTTTCATTCTGAAGCAGTCAATCCTAAAAGATAAAAATTGTCTTTTAAACATGCATGAGGGAAGCTGAAAAGTGAAATAGTTCTTCGTTATATTTCCTTTCTGATTTGTGGGAGCATGAATATCAATTTGAGACGGACCTTGAAAGGTGCAAAAATGCAAAAACACACAAAACACCTTCTCCCTAACCAGCTGTGTTGTTGAAGCTGATAACCTGTATTCTTTCAAGAAAGGGTTCTGATGTGATCTTTGGATCAATTAGGTGTTGTAATGTTGTAAGCTGTTACATTTCAAACTCACTTACTCTTTCTGTATCAATCTTCTGTGTTTTAAGAGTTGGCCGAAAAAGTGACATCTAAAATCCCTTGACAAGGTTACAAAGAAATCTCCAAACACAAGTGTTGAACCGCTCCACCCTGTCTATGTTCCCAGGTACATGTATTTTTGATCCCCCTGATTGGGTTCCACTTGACCCACTGCTACAATCCCTGTACAAGGAGGAAAGTCCACTTGGTGCAGCAAACCAATGATGACTTTACTGACTCAGGTCCAGATTAACTCTGACGGCTCTATTGAAATGTAGGGGTTTGGGTACCATAGCTATAGCTGCAATCTTTTACATTGGTGTCCCAGGAAAGAGACAGAAAGACACCCTAAAGTATTAAGCCAGCACATTTATTAACAGTACAGGAAGAGTAACTGAGAAGTAACAGGAAAGTCAAAACATCTCCAACCAATCATAAACGAAAACTTAAGATTTTATTTGAGTTTATGAATGACTCTTCACAGACTCTTCACTATTTGTAGCTGGACAGCTAAACTGCCTGCCATCTTTCACAGCAAGTACACACTCTGAGACTCTCCCAAAGCTTCTCCTAAAAAAATTCAAACAAAATCTTTCTCAAGTTTCTCACTGAAATGTCTTCCCAAAACTGCCCCCAGACAGCAGATAAGACTGACCGCAGAAGCCTCAGCTTCCTGGCTTTTAGATTATCCCCCAACCAGTCATCTCATCAGATCTGGTCAGGTGATTGACAGCAGCATCTCATTCCCCAGGGTATTATGGGAAATGTGGTTCTGACAAGACTCTCCATCTTCACATCTCCACCAAGATGCGAACAGGTATTTACACCACATTTACAGATGGATTAATTCTCAGTTTTAAGTCATTATACACCAATAAGTTATTATACACTACTGAAGGAATATTATTGTAGCACCATTTTGTAACAAGTTTAACACACAGTTTAAATGAAGAAATCAGACCATGGCTCAGCCATGCATAGTCTTATTTTACTGTTGGAAAAACTGAATTTGCAGTGGTTAATGAGGACATAAATCTGATGCATATATTAAAATCACACAACAGCTGCGAAAGTGTTGAATTAGAAACATTATTTGTGCTGAATTTAAACGCTTTTCTTTCTTTTCTCCTGGCAAACTCTTTAATAACTTTTTTCAACTCCGAGGTTTGGTTTCAATCACCAATTATAGCAGCATTTTTAGTTTTCCATCCTTTTCCGTTGATCAGGGGCAGTTCTTTAATTATTTCAACAATGAAAATGATAGGTCTCAGAGCAGCTAGAGAGTGATGTAGCTGGAGGTTTTGTGTCCATTCAAAGGCAAGTGTCTCCACATGTGTTCTTCAGGCTCAGTTTGCACATGGTCATTACTGATGTCTCTGCATTTCAGAACATCCATGTGCTTTTTTAAACATTATGCTTTTGTACAAACCTTGAAATTATTGAAATAATTTGTGTACAAAATCCATTTTTACTCTTTTTCTTCACAGTCTTCATTGCAGTCTAGACAGTCATAGATGGCATAAAGCTTTTCGGATGCGTTTCTGAATTAATTAAGTAAGTTACAATGGCATATTTATTTTTCTTTGTGCTTCACTGCTCTCAAAAGACACATTGCTTTGTGGTAGCCCAGCATGAGCAAATTTAGCCAATACACAGTGCGTTTTTCTATGTAGCTAGCAGCAACACTTAATGAACCAGAACTCATTTAACAGTCTTTGTATCCTTCACCAGCAGTAGGCAGGTCATAGTGGAAGTGTGCATATACTGCACTGTATATGTAAATAAATTATGGCATGGTTCTACAAATATAATTTGGTTTTATATAATTTGGTTACATATAAAACATGTTCAGTTAAATCTAAAAAACTAGAAAATTAAAAGCAATTTACCCATCTGGCAACTTTCCTTTTTAATGTATGGACACTATGCATATGTCCAGTTTGCTTACATTAATTCAGACCTGGGTATGCCACCATGAGCAGTACTGTAAGTAAACTCTCTTAGATCAAATGCGGTCCTCTAGACAAGTGCTTTTACTTGATGAGCCGTTTGAACTCAACAGAACAATTTAATACATTGAACAATCAACAGAAATCATTCGAACACCCAGCAGAATGGATCAAGTGGGACTGCAATACCTGAAATAGTCATGCTGTTCACAAAACTATAGCACAGCAGTTGATTGTCTTACAGGAAAAAAAAAACAAAACTTGACGAGCATCAACTTATTTATCAGTAGTGCCCAATGGCATCTGCAGACCACACATTGTGTAGTAACCTTTATTTTATTTTGTAATACATTCCTCTGATAAAAGTCGGACACAGGGGCATTGTTTTGTTATGGCTGCTACTCGCCGCAAGCACCTTATCAACACTAAACACCGCCGCACGAGGTAACTAATTATCGCCCGCTTTCTACCATCAGCTTATTTCCATTGAAACCCTCACTTCACATTACACTGTGCCTGGTATTGGTCTTTCTCTCTGGAGTTTATACCTCGCCTTCGCTAAAACTTTTCTGAACGGAAACCGCAGCTTTGAACCCGACCTCATCCTTAGACCACGGCTTCAGTCTCACAGATCGAATTTTTTTTTGCCTGAAGAAATCTCTCATCTTCCAACAGCAGTTCTTCCTCTACTCCACACAGGATCCAATTTATATTAAGGCTGGCCAGGTTTAACATGTTTATACTCTCCCTGAATTTTGCAATTCATTGACTTCTTTTTTTTTTTCAGGTGATCATGTGGAGGGCTTGACCGAGCAGGATGTGATACTGATTCACTCCTGCAGACAATGGACCACAGTGACTGCGCACAGCTTGGAAGAAGGCCATTACGTTATTGGGCCAAAGATTGACATTCCATTACAATATCCAGGTGGGTTGAGAATATCTCCTTCATCATGAATCGATTTGTAGTGCAACTATATTTCACCTCTGGATCCTGAGTCTTTTTCTGTGTTTCTCCTGATATCAATTCCAATTCAGAGCCTCAGCCCTTGGTTGCATTTTAAAAATTATGCTGATACTGTACAGATGAATGTCACACTCTGATTTGGTTTATTTTGAAAGCTGTATTTTTATAGCAACAGTGCATTGATTTTTTACAGCATGTCAAAATTGTGTGAGGCACACATGTCCATGAACTACAGATCAAAGCCATTAAGTTTATGATTCATATGGAATCATAACTTAAAAAATGAAGGCAATATATTTCCAAAAAGCTTGACTGAGGTGAAAGTCAGGAATGGCTGGATGCAATTGCTATCTGTTTTGCTCAACATGGTCAAGCGGTACTGTATACCTGTTCATTAATTACCACTTATCTTTAAATCTTGTTGATTTATCTTATTGTTGTTGAATAGCTTCCAGTCATTTTCATTTTTTTTCCATTTGCTTAGTCCCCTATTGATGTGCATTTCATTCAGACCACTTGGGATATTTTCTTGTAAATGGAAAAGTGATGCCCTTTATATTGCAAATAAAGTTGCGGAAGCAACAATTGTAATGGGATTTACGGTTTTTTGTTTTACTTCTGTCTTGGGGAAAGGAGATGGTGTTGTTCAGTAAAATAGATTTGTGCTTTTCCTGTTGTGATAAACCTCACATACATTAGTTGGTTGCGTAGTAGTACTGCTGTATTTCTTTTACTTCTATTTACTGCTTAAAATCTTATTTCCATGTATCAATGCTTACAGCCAGGTGAATTTAACATATCACAGAGTTTCTCTAAAGAATAAAGAATCCCACTTATCTAAAGAATTTATTTGCAAATTACTTTTTCTTGTTTTAACACTCTCTTAAATGCCAAATCTCTCTCCCTTAAACTCAGTATTTTAGTAGTTAGTTTAAATGCAAAAGTTTTTTTTCTCTGTGGTGCTAAAATGTTTCTGCAAATATACAGTGTTAACTGTTCACATATATTCAAAATCGTACAAGTTCAAAGGAATTACCCCATTGTAAACTGGTGTGATTGTAGCAGACAAAATCTGAGGAAATTTAAAAACAATGACACGCCTAACAGTTTTACTCTCAACTATATCAAAATAGTGTAAAGCTGTAATGACACAACAGAATGCATGTTTTTGTGAAGTCATGAAGCAGAAGACTCAGTTACATTTACGCTGTTAAAAAAACATTAAAAAGGATTTTAAATTTGGTGATATGCCATTATTATCAAGGCTGGATAATCCAGTAGTTCCACTGAAGATATATTTACTTATGGTAAGGGTGTGTCGTTCTTCAAAAATGTCCTTCTTAATGCTGCCATAGTGCTTTTAAAAATTCACCTGGAAGACAAATGAGAGAACAGTGTGCTCTCCAACTAGAAAGGGGATGCAATTCTCCCAAAGGGAATCGCAGAGTAAATGTCCATTTTTATCTTGTAGCAGCTTCATCCCCTGCAATCTGTGTGGGGGTAAGATAAAGACCCACTCCCATAGTTATAATTCAAAAAGGTTTATGTGCTAAATGTTATAAGTGTAGTGGTTTTCTCCTCATACAGTTTTAACAGGGGAACATGTTTAAAACAAACTCCAGAATTATCACTGAGCATCTCAGAAACGGTTGCACTTTCAGTCTGATAATGAACAGTTTACTGATCACTCCTCATGTATTTGTGTGTTTGGACATCTTTCAATTTTGGGAGCAGCCTTGCTTAGTAAGAGGGCCGAAATCTCACAAATCTGGGAATCCAATAGAGTGCCCAAAAAGTGGAATGGCAGTGGGATGCTAACTGTGGTGTGAAATCCAGAACTACACCAAAGATGAGGTCAGAGTTGAAACAAAAATGGGGGTAACTGTGAAACGTTCGGCGCCAGATTGCTTAGTGGTCCAGAAGTGGGAGCCATTATTGACAGATGGCGAAAAGCTGATTTGAGTTTTATTCTGAGGAGTTGAGATCACTAAAGCTACAATAGCTGATGGGTTAATGGGCGCCCTAAGTGCTGCCCATCCTGACTGTGATGCGTCCTAATAAATAAGTAATGTGTAATGGAGATCCAGGGTACTTAATCACTAGTCTCTAAGGGGAGCCTGTGAACTGAAAGGCAGGAAGGGGTCTTCAGCGAAGGGGAGGCTTGTTAACAATATATTGACTTCTTGTACCAGACAGTTTATTCATCCGTGTGTTTACGCAGAAAAGATTCATCAATTGTTCCCTGTTCAAATGTGGCTAAAGGATTGTATGCAGTCAACTTTTCTCATAGTTTCTTTTTTCTAGCAGCAGGGATGTTTGACACAAATTCATTTTTCAGCCCTTAGTTCCTCTTTGTCTCTCAGCTGAGACATGTGCCTACTGTGTCATAGCCACACCACCATTGCTTCTGCCTTGTTGCGCCATCTTAAAATTCCAACCCCAAAAGATGGACTTTTTAAACGGGGGGGGGGGTCAGATATGCTCATCTGCTGCAACTTGTGGCAGCTGGAGACATAGCTGTCACATCAGAATTTGTATTTTGATTATTTTTTTTACCCATAATGGGTAAGCAGGATAAAACTAACATTACAAATTTATAAAACATTACCTGCTGTTGAAAATGAATTCCTGCTTCAACACATTTTTCTGGTGCTACAACAAATAAGTTGAAATCCATCTCCATACAGTACATACATATGATATTCATACATATCAGTGTTTGCTATTGTTTTAAGTGTTACAAACAGCCATTTAATCTTTATTTCCTTTTTAATAAGGGAAATAGAGAATATATTCAGTGCATTAAACTTTTAATAGAGAAATGTATCTGTACAGTTGTATATTTATTTAAAACAGTTGTGTAATGCAGTGATTAAAATTTACAGTAGCAGTTTCCATATCACTTTCTTGCTCGGCTGTCAAAGGTGTATTCAGAAAAGATTTGAAAAGTGTTCCCAATTAAAAAAATACATTTTCACTTATCCAAAATATTGTTTTACAAAAGCTCATTATTTACCACCTCAGTCTTTTCAATAGTATTTAACTTGACTAGCCATGATATGATAGCCTCAAACTACCTTACTTGAGCACTGAAAGGGTTACGGTTCAGTTTGTCACTCGCTGATACTCTCTTGACAGTCCTGGTTTATTGCCAGATTAAGTTTAGCACAAAGTGCTGGGAAGCTATTGTTGTGTTTTCTTGGTGAAGAGGGGATTGTATTACACAACCAGCTACTCTCAGTGGTCTTCCTTTTTTTTTGTTTCTTACATGACTTTGGAGATTTCCAGCCTTCTTGTTCGTTAAACAAAACCTTACTTTTCCATTTGGCTGGGCTACTGAGGATGAGTTCAGTGGGCAGATGGCTTTTTGTGACATCTCGCTGATTTTCACTCCGTTCCCAGCCACTGAGATACTTCTGAATGTGTTGGAGGAAACCACTGAAGTAAACACCGTTTCACTTACTGTTGAGAAACGGCCTCCAAGCACTCCAGCCCCCAGCAGCTCTCCTCTTTTTTTTCTTCTGTGAGGAGTGCTGTGGCAGCGGCGGTGGTTGTTCAAAATGGGAGTCAAAGTCAGATCTTTGGGTTTATCTGCATCTCATAGAAAGTCATGTTTAGTGTGATTTTGTTGGCGTTTATGCTGCCAGAGCGCAAGGGAGCCCGTTAATAAAACTGATGTGATGGCTAGTGTTATAATTGTAATGTAAAAGAAAAACTGTTAGTTTGAATCATTTGCGTTAATTGAGGGTAATTTGAGTCACCTTAATTGTAGTGAGCTGCTTCTTATGTTCTTATGTGCAAGTTTACCTTGGTATGTTTACACAGCATTACCTCTGTTTCCAGTGAGTCTCCCTTAATTATGGCATGTAATCATTTCTTCATGGTCCCCCAGGTCTGTTCCCTTTTACATTATCTGCACTTCACAAAACCTTTGTTAATGATTTCAGTTTGCTTTAATACAGGTTAATCTGCTTTTACTGTGGCACATGTGTCCTCTACAGGAGTGTTCAAAGAAGATTTATAAGCAGATCAATAATATGTTAATGAATCTTGAACTGCACTTTTGTCGGAAAGTTCAGATGGGCCTTATTCATTCTGCACCCTAAAATAGAACGAGAGTTTTCCGAAACACTGCTGTGATTGCAAAATGCATTTGAACTAATAGGGGAACCTTGCTTAATTTTTAGTTTAACATTAATATCATTAATGTGTTCACATTGATAAGACCTTATTAAAACACATAGAACACTATCTGGTCCTTATCTACTTCCCTAGAAGTGTAATGCTGTTTACTTAGTCTTCTGTCCAATCCTGAAACTTGTTAATTCATAGGTTTTTATACAGTAATAAAACATATTAAGGAGATTGTATTGAGAATAGTGTTGACTGAAGATAAAGTCTTCCAGAGTGTAATGATATCACTAAAGCTGAAACACATAAGGGTTTTCTAAAACCACCTTTAACATTTTTGTCAGTAGTTTTGCAAGGATGGTAACTTATTAATTTGTAGGTTTTTACCAAAATGACACATTGCCACCATTTACAGTATAGTCCCAATTGAAGTTGCCCAACAGTGTTGTTCTTGGCTTTTATGAAAAAAAGAAAAACCCAACTCATTTTCACGCAAGCCTTATGCTCCAGGTTGTCTCATGTCTAAAGTACTGTAGGTATCACAGATTCTGATTCAGCGGCTGCCAGTGACAATAGTAAACCAAGAGATGTGGAGGTTGTAGACGGCATATGTTTTATCTCCAAGGTGTGCAGTTTTTAATTTAAAAAGACAATGTTAATGCAAGTGTTTGTAACTCTTTGAAAACATAAAAGCAAGGCTTCATTCATGCAGGCTGGCGAAGAATGGACTTTCATCTCCCACAGTCACTAGGGAATATTTGAAGAGCCGGCTGTATTGTAGCTGACTATATATCCCAAAATATTTGCTCACTGTAATGCGATAATAGATT